CCCCTTTTGCAGGGGGCTCGGTTGGAACAGGTTCCCCACCCCACCCTTGGACGCCTTGGAAGAGGGACCGGACCCGCCCACCCACTTTACCCCCTTGCTTAAACCCCCCCCCCCCGCCGTCCCTCAACCCCCCCCCTCCCTCCCTCCCCCCTCCTCCCCCCCCTGCCCCCCCTCCCCCCTCCTCCCACAGGATCCTCCTCGAGCCCGAGCACTTGGCGGAGAGGGTCGGGGACGCGCTCCGCCAGATGGACACGCAGTACGAGATTGGGGCGCGGCCGGCGAGACATAGCCGAGAGAGGAGGACGAGAGAGGAGGACGAGGGGAGGCCGAGAGAGGGGGGAGAGAGGGGGGAGAGAGGAGGCCGTGACTCGTAGCGGGCCCGACCCCCCCCCTGAGGAGGAGGGTGTAGGGCTGAGCTAGCGGGGGCTGGTGTCAGCAGGCTAGCGGCGAGACGCTCTCCCTCTCCGCGCGCTGCGGCGACGTGGCGATGCGCGTACTTGTCTCCGAGGAGGCGGACGGCCACTTCTCCATCTCGTGCTGCCGCCTGTCGGGCGACACGTTCGCGTACCACGCACTCTTCCGCAAGCTCAAGGCGGCGCTGGGCGAGGCGCGCCGCAAACTAGTGCCGCCAGTGCTCCCCCCCCACATCCCTCTCTCTCCCGCAGAACAACCCCCCCCCCCCCCTCTCCACCGCCCCTTCGCCCCCTCTCGCTCGTGGCGTCCTCTGCCCACCCACCCCACCCCACCCCATACCCGCCTCGGCTCGCGGCGCCAGCCCCTCTCTCTCACACGCCTCTCCTCCTCCTCCCCCTCTGGCCAGGCGCTGACGCAGCACTCTCTCACGCAGCGCGCCTTCGTCACGCCGCCCTCTGGCCGCGGGGCGCTTCCCCTCGCCCGCGGACCGCTCGCCCTCACCGCGGCGTCTTCATGACGGGAGGACCGCTCGAGGACCGCTCGAGGACCGCTCGAGCAGTCTGGCCCGTCGAGAGCCGCAGGGGCAGGGGCAGGGGGAGGGGGAGGGGCAGGGCAGGCTCGCTTGCATACTCTTAGAGACGAGGGCTGCCTGGCTGCGCGCGACGAGGCCGCACGTTTGCGACCACTGCGAGCGTGCGCGGCGCTTCTCGCACGGCTTGGGTAGCCCAACACCATGTACGGGAGAGCGCGCCATCATAGCCTCCGCGCGCTCACGGGATTGTCGATAGCTGTCTGTGTCATGAGGGTCGTGTGGAGCTATTGGAGCGCTTGTGCGCGGTGATGTCCGAGCCGCGGCTGGAGCAGCCAGCGGAGCTCAGCGCCACACCACCGCAGCGCGGTGCACATACCTCAACCATACGCCCCCAGATTGCCCACTCAGGCGTGTTTAGGCATGTTTGATTCAAGTACAGCGAATCGTGTCTGAACTCTTCGAAATAACTACCGGAGGGTTCGCCCCCTCGCGCCCTGTGGCCCGTCCCTACCCAGAGGTCCACGCTCGGTCGCGCCACGAAGCCGCCATCTGCTCTTCGGTGGCCGGCGCCGCCTCTGGACGAGCCGCAGACAGCGCGCCGAGCGGCGTGACCATCACTCTCTCCAGAGGCGCATTGCCGCCGGCTTGCAGCACTGCGCTAAGCGGCGCACCCCGCGGCAACCGCTCACCGCCCACCCAGAGGCAGACTGGCGTGGCGGCCAGCGACGGGAACACAATCTGCGCCTCGTCCTCGAGCTGGTCCGTGGTCGCGTCGGTGGCGAGGAACACTCTGAAGCTGCGCCCCTGGAAGGTGATGACAGTGGTGAGGAAGGCCTCGCACGACGTCGCCTCCGCCCCCTCCGCCTCCGCCTCAAGCTCCGCCAGCCGCGACTCCGCCCGCTCAAGCCGCCGGCGCGCTCTCTCTGCCTCCTCCCAAGCTCGCATCGCTTCCATCGCACGCTGGTCGCGAGCGACTCGCGCCTCTGCCACGGTCTCCCACTTGGTCGCCAGTCGGTTGGCGAAGGCGCGAGCGGGCCTCACCTCCAGCTCAGCGCGAAAGGCGGCGCGCATGTCAAAGTGACGCTCGGCAAACTCGCGGTTGATCCGGATCGAGTCGAGGGCGGCGAGCCGCGCCTCCCTCTCCTCGATGAGGCGCTGCCCTCCTTGTCTGAGCTGTGCCACCTTGAGCATCAGCGCCCTGGACTGGCGCGCGGCGACGGCGGCAGAGCCCTCCTCGCGCAAGTTAGCCAGCCGCCGGGCTTTGGTCGACGTTGCCTGCACCTCGCGAACCGGTGCGGGAGGGTAAAGAGCCAGCGTCGCGACGAGAGCCAGGCCGACGAGAGACATATACACGTGTATCTCTTAAGCGGCCAGAAGATCCGCCCTGGGATCTTCGGCGCAGGGCGCCGTCACCGGCCCCATGAGCCCCCTACGAGGCCATTCAGTGCTCATGTGGCACGACCTGAGCAGGCCTAGCAATGCCTCGGGCCGAGCGGCGCCCAGAATTGTTGGTGCTGGCCAGCAACGTGGCCGGCGAGTGCCGTCGTTGCATTGGTGGCGACCACCGCTGAAGCGGTCAGCAGGTGGGAAGGCATCGCTCTCTTTGTGAGGGTATTGTACGTATTCATTGTCTGGTCAATACTTCTGCCTGGGTGGCACCTGTGTGCCCAACATGGCGACCCGTGGCCTCCCTCGTGAGTCCACCTCGCGCTGATCATTCTCGTCGCTAGCTCAAGCCGAAAAAGTGGTCCACCGACACCAGGAGGAGTACAACCATCATGGCCGCAGCCTCAGACTGACCGGGTTAGGTCATCTTACCGGCTTGGTGGCCCAGAAGCGCGACATTTGCTGCCCGCAGAGCGCTAGCAGCCCACTAGCCGGCACGTCTGTGCGTCGTGCGGGGCTGAACTTCAGGCACTCTGCACGCGGCTTGTCGTCTAGAATAGCTCAACCCCGGCCAGTGAGTGATGGATCTGATCATAATCAATCCCTACTGTGCTGGGGGGCTCTCAGATCAGCCGTTCAGAGCTCTGACATTGGTTCCCGGCAGAAGATCCTCCAGAGGATCTTCTGCCGTCAGCCGAAAACCCGTTTTCAAACGAGACACAATGACCCAACAATGGCCCCCACGGCCCGCCGGGACATGCAGCCGACCCGGCTAGGCCAGCTGGGCCATCGGGGCGGCCACCAGCGGCCGTAGGACCGCGCTGCGGTGCCGAAAGGGGCTGGAAGATCCGCCCTGGGATCTTCGCCACCTAAGAGATATATTCGGACGTCGCCACCCCCAACGAGACCGACCGCCGCCGTCGAGTAAGAAAGAAATCCGCGGCGGGCGGGCATCGCGACACGGAGGGGGGCTGGGCAGGGTTCACCCACACGACAGGGTCCCAGGGATTCCTCTCTCGTATAGGACGGGTTGCACCCCAGGCGCGGGCCTCCTACTGGTTGCGCTCTCTAGTTCTCCTGCTCCTGACAAGCAAGGGACAGCGACAGACAGGTTCGCAGCACGGTGGACTCCCTATTCCAGAATTCCACAGGCGATCTCTCTCGACTAGCGACCTTCCTCCGGCTTCTCACTGGCAGTCTCTCGCTATCCACGGGCTCACCTGACTGACAGGGGCGGCTGGCGTGTGTGTGTGTGTGTGTGTGTGTGTGGTGTGTGCGCGCGCGCGTGTGCGACCCGCCCTCGCCTGAACGAAACCAGACAAGATTTTGAGCAAATTCTTTTGAGCTAGCCTTCGATGTTATGAAACAAACGCAAGCGGACATGGCATATCGCTCTCGGGCCCACAGACATCCCGCACACCCGCCGCCCCCGCGCGCGCCCCACCCAGGCCGGGAGAAAGGGGAGTGACAGTTTGGGACGGCGACAGACGAGATACCTCGCACTCCATGTGCGAGAACGCAGAGAGAAATGAAAGCCGTCCGGCCCCCAAGTCCGGCGCACGCGCCCCGAAGTGACCAAGAAAGAAAGAAAGAAACAGACACCCGCAATTCTTTTCTTACAGCACATACTATGTATGTGTGTAAGTATGTGGGAAGGTGAAGAACAGCCAGGCTCGGACTGGACACCAACGCGGTATGGGTGGACGCGAGACAGATGATGACGACACGCACGAGCGTCGAGCGACACACAGACACAAACAGGCTCACACGACACACAGCCAGCGGGCTGCCACACACCCTGAGTAGGCGTACACATAACTCAAGGCCACATCCTCCCTGTCGCCCCCCCCAGCACTCCACGGTGCCAAGAGTACAAACAAGGGCACAACGACACAACAGACGACACAGGAAGTAACATGCGAGGCTAGAGCAGGCTTGCTCTACCCCCAGCAATCTCTCCGGCCGGCGAGGCACGGACGAGACCGTGTGTGGGGTCTAGTGAGGTGTCTATGGACGCCCTCCTCAGAGGCTAGCTGCCTACTGCTAGCCCTATCTCGCACTCACGGGCAGTGACAATTCAATGGGTGAGTGTTTGCGAGCAGAGGCGCGTGGGCTAAATCTAGGCCGCACGTAATAAATAAATAAACACAGAGTTGGACAAATACCAAATTCCAAATCGCAAACATAGAAATCCAAACACAGGCGGCGACGTGGCATACGAGCTCATAGGAGAAGGAGGCGGGCACAAGTTCCAAGGACGCACAGCGAGCGAGACAGCAGCCATGACGATGATGATTCAGCGCGTGAACGCCAACTCGCCGGCACAGGCCGTGAAGAGCCGCGCACGCGGGCCGACGATTATGCAGCTGCGTGCCAAGCAGGCCGCTCTTGTGGCCGCATCCGAGCTCGCGGCTTCGAGTGATGCCGAGGCGAGTGTGGTAAGGCACTCGCCCGTTGACGAAGCCAAGCGGTGGGCAAGCGGCAAAGGCCGCAAAGTGGGCTTCGCAAAAGCACGTGCCACCTTCCGTGGCGGCGGCACGGGAATCGAATAAATAAACAAAATAAATAAATAAATACAACGGACATCCCAAGCTAGGGCTGGGTCGAGGACAGACACGTCCCCACCTTTGCAGGATTTTGCAAAAGCGAGGGGGGAGGGCGCATCGCTGTGTGCTGTGAGCGGTGGCGTGAATTCTTTTCCTACCGACTCGAACTGGCCACCTTCTCACGCTGCCGACTTTGCTGGCGATGAAGATCCAGGTCAAGCTGACCGCCACGGCGGCCATCGAGCGCCTCAAGGCGGACGATCCCGAGCTGGTCTCGTGCGATCTTTCAAACAACGCTGTCCTGCAGATGAAGGCGTCGGATATGATTCCACGGCTGGCCGATGCGCTGGCGGGCAACTCACATTGCCGCGAGCTCAACCTGACCGCGTGCAACCTCGACGACGCGTGCTGCGAGAAGCTCGCCGCGGCGCTCGCTGGCAACCACCACCTCGCTTCGCTCGTCCTCGAGGGCAACCGGTGCGGCAACGAGGGCGCCACGCACATAGCAAGCGCGCTCCGCACAAACCGAGGGCTGATGATGCTGAACCTGCTCAACCAAAAGGGGAGCCGATTCGGCGACTCGACCCTCGCCGCCTTCACTGGCGCCTTCGACTCCAACATCACCCTTCTCAAGATCATCTGGCGGCTCGAGTCGCGGCAGTCGTTCCGGCTCAACAAGCTGTGCCCACCGCCCCTTGCCTCTGCTGCCCTCCCCCGCCGCCCTTCCGCCACCGTGGCCCTCGCCGCTCCCACTCTCCTCGCAGCTGCCGCCTCGCCTCTCTCTCTCTCCCTCTCTCTCTCTCTCTCTCTCTCTCTCTCTCTCTCTCTCTCTCTCTCTCTCTCCCCCTCCCTCCTGCTGCCTCTGCCGCCTCTCCCGACCCAACCAGCCAGCTGTGCGCAGCCGTACGCCCGCCCCGTCGTCACACCGCTCATTCGACCCCGCCCCACCCCGCCCCGCCCCGCCCCGCCCAACTCTGCTACCCCACCCCCCGCCCCACCTCCCCTGCCCCCCCTCCCCCGCCCTGCCCCCCTCCCCCACCCCTCGCCCGCCCGGGGCAGGCTCGTGCGCAACAACGAGATCGACCGCCGCATCGCCTCGGGGCGGGACTACTCCGACCTCCTCCCCGAGGGCGTCGCGCCCCTCGCGCCTGCCCTCGTCACGCGCCGCTCCACGGAGAGTCTCCACCCCCCACACACCTCCCCCACCTCTCCCCCACACCTCCCCCACACCTCCCCCACACCTCCCCCACACCTCCCCCACACCTCCCCCACACCTCCCCCACACCTCCCCCACACCTCCCCCACACCTCCCCCACACCTCCCCCACATCTCCCCCACACCTCCCCCACACCTCCCCCACACCTCCCCCACACCTCCCCCTGATGATCGTGGCGCCTCTCCAGGCGCGACTGCTGCCGGCTGCCGGCTGCGCTGGTGCTGGCCTAGCGGCAACCCGGGCCCGTGATACCGCACCGCCCACGGTACCTGAACCCACACTGGGTTCGATCCCGTTGAGGTATGGTACTAGGCGCGTCGGGCGCGTGGGTGGGTCTGCACGGTTGCGAGGGCTGGCCGCGGGGAGGGCGGTGGCGCTTCCCTCCGTGGCGGCGCCGCTTCAAGACCATCCGGAGGGACGCTGCCCGTAGACGCGGACTATCTCCCCGTATCTCCCCGTATCTGCCCATATCTCCCCGTATCTCCCCGTATCTCCCCGTATCTCGGTCC